CGTTTTCTCCCAACATAAACTAATTTCGAATTTAGAACAACTTATACCATCAAGGAAAGAAATTAATCATGACCTATACCCTTCAAAATTTTGCTAAACTTCAATTAAAAATTTATTATCCAATAATATTTCCAGAAGATTATATCACATATATTGCAGATAAATTTACTCATGAACTGTCAAAGCCTAAATGCCAAAAAAGCGCACACATACTGAAAGAACTGTAATCTGATGCAAAATACGACAACCATTAACATATGCATTAATCAATCTACTCCACGTCCAGCTTTTCGTTTGCCACAAGAACAGCGGGGAGCTATTTTCAACTGGATCGATCTATCTGCTCCGGCCATCAACCATCACAATGCGATGTAGGTTTCTGCTGTGGTCGAACCTTCAAACATGGACTTCTAGCACAATACTTTGCTAGCTTGATCCTCATCAACTCAACCCCGTCTTTTGGATCATTATCTCCGACGTACTGGTGATCTCGATCTTGACCTCCCCCTGAAATTGGGCTTAATTAGCTCATGATGCCATGAACATTTGACAGAGCTACAAATTTGTTTCACCTGACTAGCACATTGATATGTTGATAGACATGTCTCAAAGAACAATTTTTTTCCAAAAACACTAGTAAAATACCTGGTAGTCTCAAGAGAAGAGTAGGAAGAATGCCTGCGCTGAGAGTGCTTGCTATGGGGAGACTGTGAAACTTGTCTAAAAGGAAAACAGTGAATACTAATCCAATGAGTTTAAAATATAAAATTATGTATATAATTTCTCAGTCTCGTATACATCCAGATTCTAAAGGAATCAGCTTTCTTGAATAAATAATTCTTTCGGGTGGTACTACAATAGTATATAGGCAAATGCTGTACACTGAAAGTGAGCGCAAGTTTCTCTTATTTAAAAGCAGAAATAATCGCTCTATTAAGTGAAGCAGCTTTTCTTGAGAAATAACCATCAATACCGCAAGATTCACAGCCAAAATTTATTTTTAAACACTAGAAATCAAGTATACGATTTTGAAATGAACTGATGATCTGAACTCAGAAGCCAGACTAACTACGAGGAGATAAATTACAATCCTGTTCTCAACACTAAACATAATTTCCTTTTATGCTTAGAAGAATGAACTTGATTGACCATAATGACTTGCACTTATTGACTGCCAAGTAAGCTCTGGCTACCACATTAAATCTAAATCATCTTTTGTGTTTCCTCCCACGAAAGATATAAGGCCTATCATACACTGGATCTATTGTTGTCAACCCTTCTCAAAAATTAACCACTGTTGCAGGAGAATTCATGATGTCTAGCTTTTTTACAATAAGCACTTTGGAGTGGACAATCGAGACAGGAGAGATTTAAATTACCGCACAAGCAAGTTTAGCAAATAAAATGCATGGTTCCATGAAATCCCAAAATATGGTATCCCACATATATCTGTAATAATATCATTCATACAACTTATCCTTATTAAAAGGAAAAGGTTTCTTTTCGAAGAATTAAGTTGCCCAAAGAGATTGATTATGATGCCATTAGACCATAAGCTAAGCTAATCAAAAGTGCAGAGTTGGAGGCAAGACTCGAGCAATCACAATACAAAATTATTGACATGTAAAGAAAGGGTAGCAAATGTGTTCAAATTATCATGCACTTCTCAAAGATTTAATGAATTAGCAGTTTCAAGCTCCACACAAAATCCCATTCTTAATTCTCTTTTACACAACCTTTTAACAGAGCTTCAGAAAAATCTCATGTTTATTTTTCTCTTATACAACCCTCAACTGAGCATCAACGTTGAAGCCTCGTGACTCCCGACCAAACCTCAAATGAGAAGCGTAACACGTTCTACAGTAACCACCCCACCCAAAAGAAACAAACAAAAGCAGAAGTCCAATTACATAAAATTCACCCACAAAATTCTAGTAGGGATACTGCTGCCACTAGGAGATTGAAAATAGTAACTGTTTTGACCCTACACACTTCTGCCTCCAGTTTGTCATTGTCTGAATGTCAGCATCAAAAGCAACATTCTGGACACAAAAGTTGACTATGCACTGATATAACATATAAGCATGGGCAAGAAGCCAAAAGAAATTGATCACCTGCCTCCAGAAGATGGATCATGCTGTAGGATTCTCGTGAGTTTTAAAACCATACTTCTTTTCATGGAAGGTTGCAAGCATCATACACATATCATGTAGAATATAGTTCATCGTGCAATGTGATGAGAATGCAAAAAATTTGTGGAACATGGTAATACCTGCCTCCAGAAGATGGACCATGCTGTAGGATTCTCGTGAGTTTTAAAACCATACTTCTTTTCATGGAAGGTTGTAAGCATCATACACACATCATGTAGAATATAGTTCATCGTGCAACATGATGAGAATGCAAAAAATTTGTGGAACATGGCAATAACTGGTAATAAGCATACATATTTTTCTAGTTTCACAAAAACCGCACAGCTCTACTAGAACATGCTCTCTCAAAACGTGGAATGAAGACAGTACTAAGGACAAATTAAATATTAAGCTATCCCTAAGATATTGCACAAGCAAAAACAGATCCTCATTTTTTTTTTCAGGTGTTGAAGGTTGATATGTTCAAAAATTGCCTGCATTGTAACAAGTTGTTCTATCCTAGTACAACAATTGCCAATAAAAGTCAAAATTGACCTTAAGAACAATAACAGCAGCAAACGATGAATTCGTTGTTATCAACAGATGAAATTGTGCCAAGAAGCTTAAAAGGAATTAAAAAACAGTTGAGCCAAAGGATTCAAAGGAGTCACAGATTGTGAAAAGAAACCAGGACTCATGCATGGAATTCGGAGCCCCAAATTAATAAATAAATAATCTGACTCCTGAAGAAGACAAACATCCTACTATACAGATGTAAGAGTGCTATTACCAATGTTACCAGCAGATAATGCAAGCACAGAGTACAGTTTGTTAATACCTGAAGAATAATAAGTCATAATATGGCTAAGCATCCATACGGTTCCATAGACTTGTTTCAAGGATTCCAATCTGGAGAATAGATAGCTTTGGATATCTAATGTACTAATCATCATTTCAACAATCAACTAAACTCCTAATGTTACTACTATACCCAGAATCGTAATAATATCAGATAATTTCATTCTTTTAGCTAGTTAAGGAAGAGTTAAAATCAGGTCACAGGGACAATTATTTTATCCCAAAACTAGAAGAAGAAGAAAAAAAAAGGAAAACAGAGGAGGAGGAGGCGACGGAAATACTGTAAAGGAACAAGATATGAATAAAAAAAATAAGAAGTAAACAGAAATGATTAAAAGAGGCTTTCAGGGCAGATTAGCACCTTTTTCTTGACCTAACAGGTGATGGTGATTTACATTTTCTTGAATGGTGCGATTTCCTGTTTCCCACAAACAAAATATCATAAGCAACTAGATTAAAGGTTATAAACAAAAAGAACAGAAAGTAACCAGATAACACACCTTTTAGAATCATCCAAGGACTCATCACTTGAACCATTAGCATGACTAACCACTGATTTATCTTTACTCTCTCTACCCCTACCATCAACAGAAGATGAACGACGCCGCTTGTGTCTGCTAGATTCACTTCCATTTTTATGCCTAGATCTTTCCCTTAACCCATCCTTTGTCCTCTCTCTTCTTTCATTATCTTCTTTGCCACTACTTTTGTCTCTATCTGGGTGCCTTTTCCTTGATTCAGAATCCTTTACTTTCTCCCTAGACCTACCTAATCCCTTGACTTTATCTTTTGAGCCATTACGATCATCCGTCTTTTCATTTCTTGCGTGCCTTTCTTCATGCCTTCTATGGGGTTCATCTCCCTTCTTATCCATTCTTTCCTTAAAACTTTCTACTAACCTATCATCGTCTTTCCCTGTATGGTTCTTTTTATTATCGATTCTATCATTATTATCTGACCTACGCCTCATCCGTCGGCTTGGTGAATCATCCCTATTTGACTTTCTGGCATCTGAATTTCTATCTTGTCTTTCAACTGTCTCAACAGCTTTTTCAATTACAGTCTCCTTGGACTTGAAAGTATCATAGACATGTCGCATCTCATCTTCTGCAACTCCAGATTCTGTCTCAGAGGAGCGTTGATTATCAATGCTTGCCAACTCTCTAGCTGCCCTATCATCATTCAAATCTGTACTTGCAGCACCAAGATTTGCATCCACAGTGTTTGCCTTTGTTTTGCCAGTACCATCAGTCTCTGCATTGGCAAGAATATTACCGCGTTCAACAGCTTCTTCCTTCGAACCACCATGCTGAACAGCAGGTGTTCCTATGAAGAGTTTGCTTGAAATTGATTGCTCATGTGAAGAGTTTTCTTTTGACTCCAGCTTACCAGAACTCTGGATCTCCTCATCATCATCTGAGGCATAACTAGCAAGACCAAGTACATCCCCAGCAGCAGCAGACTTTTCACTAGCAACCTGAGACACAATTCCCTTCGTCTTGGTCGGAACCAAAATCTTTGCAGAGGCCTTGGTTGTTGAACCGGCTGGTAAAGATGGCAATACTTCGTGATTTGACAAGTCAGTGTTGTGGTCAACTATGAAAGACATGATAAGTTACAATCAACCCAACAAACTAAAAGACTAAAAGAAGAGGAAGCGGATGAAATTCAGAAGAAAAGGAAAAAAGTTCACAGGGCAATAACCTTCAACTGTGAGGCCATCTTCATTCAAAACTTTGGTTGCAATTTCATCAAAAAGTTCATCAGTAACCTGCCACAGAACTTATAGTCAAAAAATCTGCCCAAGTTTAGTGTGGAGTTCATTAGTATCTGAACTGAAGCAACCTTCAAAAGCACTTCAGTTAGAACACGCTTTATTTCCTGGTTAATAGCTGCAGATCTAGCGGCCTCCACCTCAACCTACATAGATAAATATGTGTCAATTCTGCTCACAATCCTAAAAATTGACCGTACAATAATAAGGAAAAAAGGAAAGGCAGAGAGAATATGACATTCACATAACTATGTCATCAAAGACACAGAAGATGCAATTCAAAGCATATTGAAAATTAGAGATACTAGTTGACAACAAACGATTATGGGACAGAAATTCAGAGATTCCAAAATTATCTATTCAAAGAGAGTGATAAAAAGTTCAGACAAGGTCATGTAGATCCAAACAAAACTCATTTCAAACACATGGTACAAAGTGGAAGGGTGGACAATAATTAGAAATATTGGTGAACTGGTATCAAACAAGATTTTTTTCTCCTTACATTTTGTGCCAAGATATCATTTGACGTATAAGGTAAGAGGGAAATAGCTACAGAAAATATGTAAAATCATGCTTTGGGAATGGTGAATAAATCTCCTTCCCCCAAGCTAAGAGAGGGAGGGGGAGGGAGAGAGAACATGACAACCTCATCCTCATCTTCTTCATCAGTTGATCTTGAAGAATCAATGCTTTTGCTGTCTGCTTGATCTCCCTTCCTAAAAGATTTATCACCACTTTCTTCGTCCATGGATTGGGAATCCTCTTTAGGGAACTCTGGGACAGAACTCGGGATGGAAGCTTTATTCTTAATTATTTCCTCCCTAAGCCAATTAGGTACCGAAGCCTGTAATTCAACAAAATCGTGTACAGATGATTCGTGTAATTTTCAAACCATTGAAGCTGACAAACACAACCGAATTTACCTTTCTAGGCCGCTCAGAGACGCTGGAAACACCAAATGCATCCCCATTAAAAGCTATTGTAGGATGAAGTGCAGACCCGGTGCCAACACCAAAAGATGCAGCTATTGTTGGGCCTGTTGGCTGGAAACTTACTCCAGTTGGAAACATTGGTGTAGAATGTCCAGACACTGGAGAAGGCAGAACCATTGAATGATCAACCTGTGAAGTATGCAAGTCAAATGACAATTAGCACACCTAACAAGGTTTCACAACTACAATTAATCAGTCATATTTACTTCCAAAACCTGTGATCCTGATGGGATCGTTGAAGGCTGTGAAGTATAAACACCCTCTGAAGCAGCAGGAGCCCAAGCATAGTTTGAAGGTATAGCTGCAACAGGATCCACAGCTCTTGCAGGACCTCCAGAAAAATGAGCATGGGGTTGCATATGTGGGTCCTGATTATGATTAAAATGAGGTGCAAAATTTAAAGGCTGATCGCTTAAATCAGTTGCAGACTCTGCCTGCTGGCCACCAAGTGAATAATGAGGTTCCTCCATCCATCCAGACCTACCAACTGCCGGTGGCAGTGGTTGAACAAACATCTGTGAAACTGAGGCAACTGGAGGCAGCAATGAAGACCCATTGAACTCTCCATTTATATTGCCAGCGTCTTTACCTGCAATAAAGACAAAAGTCAGAAAGCTATAATATTTGGTAATCCAAGGTTCTTTTTTTATTTTCTATTCTCTTCACTTACAATTCCGTATTAGAATTGGTTCCATTTATCTAAACTATAAGGAGCATATTTCCAGAATATGTGATACTTTATAACCACATTTATGACACTAATTGGTAGCATCGTCAGTTCGGACTCATGAATCTCCCATCCGTAGTTATCTTAAAGAAGAGGGTGCCAAGATGCATAATTCTAATAAACTTTAGTGTTATCCAAACTTCAAAGGAATATTGTAGTGCATAACATGGGTACTTTCCATAGTTATTTGGTACATAAATGTTCTTGATAGCTTTATCCTCAGAAAATAATTACTACTCAACTATCCATTTTTCTTAAATGTTTTAAACAACTTATGTAGTCACAAAGACAAGGAAAGCAAAGAAAGAAAATTTAGGTATCAGAGCTAGCCATTTGCAACATGACATCCTTGAAGTCGAAAACTACTAAAAAAAAATTGATGCAATGAAAAACAACTGCAACTGTCTCAAAGCATTGCAAAGAAACAAGATAAAACTCAACTATAAAAGCAAACTGAAGGCAATCTATGATACTTTAAGGAACTAAAGGGCCATTTGTATGAACATAATGAATGCGAGCCTAAAATAGATCACTGGAATATGAATCAGAAGAAGATGGAAAGAGCACTATTGAAGACAAAAAGTTAATTAGTATAATCACATAACATTTGGAAGCTATTTCTTGAGCACAAGCTTTGTGTGCAGAATCAATATGCTATTTAAGTTTTTACCTGGAATAGAAGAATAACTAGAAGGTACCTCCTGCCGATGGACTAATGAACTAATAGATGATTTTTCTTGCTGCAAGAATGGTGTAGTATCGCCAGCCAAGTTTCCATCTCTAGCTGTATAGGGTGGTAAATGAACGTCCATGGCATATGATGATTGTCCTGAGCTGATGTATGGAGGCTCCTGTGACTGACCCAGAGGAGTTCTATATGGAGGTGCAGTTCCAACTGGATAATGTTGATAGCTTGATTCAGTCAATAAAGGCCGCTGCACATCCATAAGTTGAGTATCAACAGATTGAGAATATTGATCATGAAAATTATTCTGCTCTTCTAGCCTTCCTGCTGGA